GGCATCTGCCACAGTGTTGTTTACTCTGGACACATGGCGAATATCTGATATAAACTGTGAAACGTAGTCAAGTTGTCGTGATTCCCTGGGTGAATACTTATCTGAAGGTGAGTTCAAAGAGTACGTCAGAGGTTTGTGGTCAGTGAAAATTATAAATTCACGACCCCACTGAATGTCGAAAATGACGTATAGCGCAGTACATAGCAAGAGGTTGTTCGCCGAATGTGCTGTACTTCGTTTCAGCTAATTGAAGGCGCCTGGATAAAAAGGCGAGTGGTTGCCACTCTTTATTAACTAGCTGTTGTAGAACTGCACCGATTGCAGTGTTTGATGCATCAACCGATGTACTTAACGGTGCCGTGGGATCCTGATACATCAGAAGTGTGGCATTCGCAATAGCTTTTTTAACCCGGGTAAAAGCATTTCGAGCAGACGCGTCTAGTTCGATAGACTTGTTATTCCCTCGACAGAAGGTCTGTCAATGGCTGAATCAGAGAGGCGCGGTTGGGAATAAAGCGTCGATAATAACTTATCAAGCCGTTAAAGGTGCGGAGACTTTTCACCATCTGTGGCTCTGGAAAGTTCAATATAGCCCCGACCTTAGTAGCCAGTGGGCGAATGCCCTTGCAGTCAATAGTGTGGCCCAGAAAGTCGAGTGAGTCAACGCCTATTTCACACTTTTGGATAATAATGGTAACCCCATGTTGGCGTAGCCTTTCAAATGCTGAGTCCTAGTGCCTAAGGTGAGTTTCCTTGTCTGGACTGGCAATGAGGCAGTCGTCTAAGTATGCGTATGCAAAGTCGAGACCGCGAAATACTTCATCGATGAAGCGTTGGAATGTTTGGGCTATATTCTGGAGACCGAATGGCATATGTAGAAATGCAAAAAGTTCGAAAGGTGTAATGATAGCCGTTTTCAGGATATCTTCTGTTTCCATCGGGATTTGATTATACGCTTTAACCAAGTCGATTTTAGAGAACATAGCAGCACCAGATAAGGTTGTCGTTAGGTCTTGTATGTGAGGCAACGGGTAGCAATCAGGGGTTGTTTTGGCATTTACTCTCCGGTAATCACCGGTGGGTCGCCAATCGTTGCTATCTTTTTTCGGCACCATATGAAGTGGGGATGCCCATGGGCTATTCGAAGGTCGTCGTGCTTTAGATGTCACAGGTTGTCCTGTGGTAATGGTGTGGTGCATAACATTGCTGGTTGTTCACGGTAGGTCGTTCGACGGGCAGTTAAGTTCTGGATACTTGTCAACCATAGGTTGAAAAGTTGGATCAAGAATTGCCTTTATCTTAACGGCTGACAAACTAGGGCCTATGTAGCTGATGCCTTTGATAAACAGACTAGTAGTATTGTCAATCAGTCGTTTTCGGCGGACGTCTACGAGTAAATCATGATGATTAAGTAAGTCCGTGCCAATGATGGGCATTGTTACGTCAGTGAGAAAGAAAATCCATCGAATAGGTTTGCGTAAACCTACGTTTAGATAGACGTATTTTCTACCAAAGGTTGCGATGGGTTTTCCATTTGCAGCCTGTAAGTTGAAGGTAGGTTCCCTCTGTCGATCTGCTGCTGTAGCAGGAAGGACGCTGACTTCGGTGTCTGTGTCGACTAAGTATCGAGTCTGACTTATCACCCACCGACTTTGAGACATTTCCAAAGTTACAAGGCTTACGGCAACACTTCGCTTCTTGGCCATAGCTGATGTGGTACCAGCACCGGTCAGGATTTTTCAGCGAACGTGGCAGGACTAAGATCGACCACATGAGTTTTGGCATTGAAGAGATTTAGGACAACGGTCGGAGTTAGAAGGCATGTTTGACCTAAACATCTGCTGGATGGAGTTACATAACTCTATCGCTGAAGTATCCTTACTCAAAGTCTGCTTAGTCATCGAGCATATTTCGGGAACTGACCGTTTAGTTATTTCTAGAATCCTATCTGCAGAAATAGCTAAGTCATCTATTACAACACCCTGAAGTGTCACAAGTACAGTCTGTACAGACTGTGGCAGCTTAGTTAAGAAGAGTTCTTCAAAAAGTCCTTCATCGAACTGACTTTGGCCAAAAACCTCTCTTATTCTTGTCAGCATGCTCACGCCTGACTGATCCCCTAACTCAATTTTACGAAATAATTCATCCAGACGTTGTCGGTCCGTGAGGACGTTTCTCCTGAGGAGGGATGCTTTGAGCAACTCGTACGAGTTGCTTATTTCGGGACTTGACATTTGCAAAGTTACGTACCTGCTGAATTCCCGCGGTAGGGCGTGAATAACTGCAAGGAACTGTGGAAGTTGATCGGTTATCCCATGCTCACAAAAATCTGCTTCAGCAAGCAGAAACCAAGTTTCAGCATTATCTGGCCAGTATGGTACAAGCTGAATGGTTTTAGGAGTTGAGCGGATACGAATGACCTTGGGACTAGGATCACTCATGACGAAAAGTATGTCGTGTAAAATATGGTGCAAGAACAAATGCAAAAAGGAACGAACTCACCGGGGTTATCTACGTATTTATCGTGGATGAAGTCAATAATTTTGGGGAATTATTTACCGCTACAGAAGCAAACAGTTGTGTGAGTGACTCGACATGATTATCAGCAATAGTTTGTGCTTTAAATATCATCATTTAATATTACTGTATAACACTGTGATTTATCAAAATAAAATCTTATCTACAATATGTTCATTTTTGTTTAACATAGACACTCTCACATGATTTCTTTCTGTTTTACTGAAAACTATTCCAAAATGAAAAAAGTAGCCTACGGAAGTTAGACAAATATACCATTTGAGAATGTCAAATATAGCCTTGTTTGGGCTTACACAGTTTCTTTGAAAGTAAAGTTCTCCATGATAACGTGATTGTTAATCCCTCAGTATCAACAGCTCGAGAGATGGCAAGCAACTTTTTCCTAGATAAGTCTTTGAAATGACGTGCATGTTAAGGGATTTTGGTGAAGCGAGAATATCAAACTTCACACTGTGAAATGACATCATATTAAGCGCAAAATTTCAGTCTACTTTGGTGAGTTGTACCATATGTGAAAAGCTATTTTTGTGGAATTATGGGTCGCACATGAGTGCCCAGCCCACCAAGAAGGAACCACACCCAACGTTCATGCACTTTATAAAAGCAGTGTATGCCACTGCTTCTTGGTAAGTGTTTGTTTATCAAAGCGAGGAGAATGAAAAACAAAAACGAATACAGCCACTTAGGATGGTTAAAAATCCTTTCAAAGATCAGTCAGTGTATGGGTAAAAACATTAAGCTCACTCCCGAGGCAAATCATAATTTCATCGAAAACGACAAATGATTTTAGGTTGTACATGATTACAGTCATTGGAACATAACACCTAATGACTTGTTGAGCACTGAAATGCTCGGAAGACACAGATGAGCTGCAGGCGAACCTTAAACTTCCGGAAGACTGGGAGATCATCAGTAGTGTGACTTCCAACCTGAAAAAGTGAGAATTACTGCAGCTGCACAACTGTGTGCTGCATAATGTAAGTTACAATCTGCGAAACGAAAACGTGTCTTGACCAACGTGGGGGCGCGACTAAGGTCTAGTTCTACCAGAAGAAAATGGACACAAGCGCGAATTACGCGTACGATGTGGTGGGAGCTTATGCAAGCACTTTGCACATAAACAGTTAGGTACGCTCACTCCTGTGCTCCTTATAAGGTTGCGCAAAATATGCGTAAGACCATACCTTGAAGTTCACATTATCCTCGCTCCCGCGTTGCTTAGAAGAGACACCGACCGTTTGGAAAGCGTCCAAATATGGGCGACAAAAGGGTTGATAGGTTCCTGGAATAAGCCATCTGATGAATGGCTGAGGATATTAGGTCTTTCCACACTTAGCTACCATCGGCTTAGTGGGGCTTTAACTACTGAATAAAAGACTAATCCAAACAGTGGTACGTATAGGCTTCCTCGTGGGAATCTATCAAGGATAGCTCACTAAGGAGAAAAGATTCGAGTGAGCTCCCATTTCTTCTCATTTTGAGTTTGCCGCCACAAGTATTCTCTACTGGCAGGTGTGGCTACTGCACCGTCCGTGCACATTTTTAGGCGGAGGCTGAACGGTCGTGCAGTGGCACAGAGTCCGAATCTGAACGGCCCATCTCTGTAAAACTTATACACTATTAATGGTTGTGCTCCTAAACTTATCATTTTACTTTTTCACACTCCCCTTGTCTTACTCTCCCGACTACTTTAACTATTACGCCCCTTACACTGTCGTTATCGATACATAGGTTTACTCATTCCTTTTTCTTCACGTTCCCAGTGGAACATAAGGCTTCAAGCTAGTGGCTTGAAGTTTCTGTGGCAGTGTTTATTTTACAGGATGAGGTTACTAGCTTCATGCCCAACGTTTCCTCTTTACCAGGATTATTTCTGGCTTAGAGAAGTTTGGGAGTGCGTCGGCCAGGGATCGAAACCCGGACCATGTTCATGGTCGGCGAACGTCTTAACCGCTATACCATCGACGTACGTGCACACACATACCATGTATATATATTCCAATTTCAAATTATATTAGTTATCTGTTTTTGCGTTTCATTTCTTTCATTTTCAAGTCCACATAATACACAAGAATTATATCTGTTATTGTTATCTCTCTTTTCGATCACACCGGAAGACAAACGGGTGAAAGGATCAACTCCAGTAGCAGCACGGACTTAACACACCGCATACCACAAACTACGTTTAATCAATTCCAATACCTCTCCCTTTGGAGTCATCTTAAGTTAAGATATTCAGGTGGCAGGATGAACTACGCAGAAGTTTACTGGAAACCATGAAATTTACCTAACAGCCTGGAAGTAAGCACACAGAGATTAAATTAACTTACACTAACCCGTAAAAGCGATATTGGATGTTGGACCGCTCTTTTTAGCCTGTGCGCTACTAAAAGCCAATGATTATATATTCTTTTATGCAGTTTTCCTCTCAGTGTATTTCCAAACTGTTTGACTGTCATGAAAGAGTTTATCCTGTTGTTCATCGGTGGGTCATTCTCGTATGGTTTTAAATGTTTTAGATTATTTCTTATTTTATTTTGAATTAGAATTTGTTATGCTTCCCACTAGCAGGACTGCAATCTTATATGAGTGCACAAACATATTAGAGTACAGGATTAGCCATTTCGCTTCAGTACAACATGACCTCAAATTTTAACTTTTTTGACTGACAAAATACCCATGGTGAATTTTTTTGGGACCTGGGATATGTGGGTAAAAACGTAGGCACTTTCCCCTTTAAATTTGGGCAAATTGGAAAAGGTGGGCTGTTTTCTGTTGTAACGTGGGCAAAGTTGGAAAAAGTGGCTGATATGGGTAAAGCGGGTTAATTATGTAGCAATATCGATCGATATTGCTACATAATTGCTACATAAAGAATCGATTCTTTATTGTAAGGTATAGGTTCCTGATCTTCGCTAAACTTCTGCGTAGCTCGACTGTCGTAGCTTTGGTTGACTCCAAAGGGATTAGTGCTGGACTTAATTATATGTGGTTTGTAGTATGAGGTGTGTTAAGACTGTTACTACTGTGATTGGAGTTGACCCTTTCGACAGTTAGTCCTGCGGTATCGTCGACAAGAGAAAAGAGGTGGTAATAATAATAGACATAATTAGTGAAGTTATTCAGACTAACAAACAGAAAAGGAAATAGGGAAACGTAACAACAATCAGCTGATTAAATTTGAAGAATACTATATATATATATATATATATATATCGGTAATAATAATAATAAGTGCAGTTAAAGTTGTCAGGAGAGTAAGACGGTAGAGAATGTAAAGAAGTAAAACGACGAGTTTAATTGTCTACCCCTGAATGGTGTATGCGATTTTAAGGGGATAGGCCATTTGGATGCAGACCTTGTGTCGCTGCATGGTTGTCCAGCCTTCGCTTAAAGGCGTGCAAAGACGGTGCCATAGCTACATCTGCTGGTAAGGAATACCAGGGACGACAGACCCGCAGTGAAAAGAAGTGGGAGCGCACCCGGGTCCTTGCCCCTTTTTTCGCACGGCTTCGCTGATCAAATTTACCCATTTAGCCTACGATTTGCCCACATTACCCAGGTGCATTCTCTCGAAAAGACTACAGTCTTCTCAAGAGTGTGAACTAGTCAGGATTTGGAAAAGTTGGCTTAATTTATGTTTTGAAATTGGCTTGCGTGTGTTGCATGAGGCCGTAGTTTTGTTGTATTATATTCAATCCTGGTCTTATTGCGGGAAGGGGACTATAAGCTGTATATTGCTAGCTTTCATTTACATGTTTCTTCCAGAAGACCAGCCTTTTGGACTTTCGACTAAGTTTTGCCGTTTGACAAAGTTTAGGGGTTGTCATAGTTTAGTTTGGAGAGACATAGTCATATTTGTTTCTCAGCCATTCATTGCGAAAGGCAAGTTTACAACAAGAACTAGGTAACTTTGCTGTTTTTGCTACTGCACCATCAGAGGAAGTTATACGTACGATATTTTGATTGATAAAATTTACGTGGAATGCACGCACCTTTTACTTTTTAACCATTCGCCTCTTTCTCGTCACTTGTGCAGATCTGACGTCAAGTTATAGCTCATATGTGAATATTAAGCCTGCTTGTAAATAGCAACTACTTTAACCTTGTAAATATTATTATTATTCCCTAGAGTTCCGAGTAGAACATAGGGCTTCACCAACACATTTCCACTTTGTCCTATCTTCTACCGTCCTCTTCAGCTAGGACCATGACTGCCCACGATCTCTCATCTCCTCACACGATCTCCTGCATGTCACCGGACGACCCACTCGCTGCTTCCCATTGGGATTCCACTCGAGGGCCTGGCCCGCAATTTCATTTGACAGTGTCCTTAACATATATCCATTCCATCTCCGATTTCTCCTACATATTTGTTGAGAGATCTGTTCTTGGTTGGTTTTTTCATTTTCTGAATTCCTTGTTGCTAATTCATTCTGGTCGGCCATTTGGTTTTTAGTACGAAGCCAGTGAATGTGGCAGCTGTTGATGAAAGTCTACAAGAGACTGTTGGAAATCCTTTTCGTAACATGCCAAGTTTGTAACCCGTATGGAAGAGCTAACCGACTTGACATTGGTATTGAAAATGCGAATCTTATTCCTTATGCTGAGTGCGGAAGATTTCCAAACTGGTTTCAGGTTGATGAAGGAGTATCTTGCCTTTCCGATTCTGACTGGCTTTGACATCTTCATCCGTTCCGACTGCCTGTGGTTGAAACGATGCTTCTTAGACAAGTGAAGGAAGTAACCTCTGTTGAATCTCTCCCACTGATGCTGATTGCCGCTGGTTGCTGTTGTTGTGGTGGTTCGTTGGTTATCTTCATCACCTCCGTCTTCTCTATCTTCACTTGGAGACTCGTCTTGTCTACCTCTTCAACCAGTGTGTTGGTTTTGGCCTGTAAGTCTTCGAGTTTGTGTGACACTATATATATATATATGTATCATCTGCAAAATCCAGAGTCTTCTTATCGGTGGTTTAGTGTACTCCTCTCTCCTTGCTCCCAAAGCACAGTCTTACGTGGTATCCAGTTCACCACAATTAAGAATATGATCGGTGGTAATATACAGCCCTGTCTTACTCTTGTATTCACTTCGAGCGCCTCTCTGAGTTTCCCGTTGTGGATCACCTGACACGTGGCATTGTCATATAGCTAGCTGTTGAATGCTGCACTCCATAGTGTTGAATTAGTTTCCAAGTTACTTCTCGGTCAATGCTGTCGAAGGTCTTTTGAAGTCGATGAAGTTGCGGTAGAGGTTTGACTGTCATTCTGTGCTTTGTTCGATGACGACGACTCTTTGAGATGCAATTTGAACAGCGCACTCTTCGTCTTCCATGAATCCAGCTTGTTTCGGGTTGGCGGAGTTCTGTATCCATTTCATCTTCTAGTCTCTCCAGGATGATGCGACTTAGTATTTTACTTGGCGTGAACAACAGCACGATTCCACGCCAGTTCTTGCACAGGCCTAAGTCGTCCTTCTTTGGCAGCTTGACAAAGTAGCCTTTCCTCCAGTCTGTAGGTACCTTTCCTTCCTTCCAAAAGTCTTGTAATAATGGCATGAGAACATCTGTCTCAGTCTCTGAGTCCATCCATCTAGTCCTGCTGCCTTCCTGGCTGGTGTTCAGGTGCTTGATCGCTTTCGGAATTTCTGCTTTCGTTGGAGGATTGGTGTCCACTGGTAGTTCTGTGAGTGCTGTTGGCTGTGGCAGTATTTTTGGGCGAGTTGCAGGTGATGGTCGATTCAAGAGTCCATCAAAGTGATCAGCCCCTTGTTTTATTTGTTTCTCCTTGGTGATCAGGTTCCCCTGAGCATCTTTTCTTGGTTTCATTATCTGGGTTTATCTCTACCCGGATAGATACTTGGTTATCTGATATAATGTATTGAGATCTCTTTTGCCTGGGGCTTGTTCTGCTTCAGTTACCAGTGTGTCGTAGAATTGTCGTTTGTCTTTTCTAGCACTCTTCTTCACTTCTTTATTCAGTGCAGTTTACATTGAACTCAGCTTCTCCTTTTGTTGTCTATCTTTGCATTGAGTCATCTCTTTCAACATCTTCTCCTCGATTAGCTTCCAGGTAGGTGTCTGTTGAGAGCCATTCCTTGTCTTGTCTTGCCTCTTCTTTTTCCCTAGAACATCTGTACACGTTCCTTTGAACGTTACCTTCAGAGAGTTCCATTGTTCTTCCACACAGGTTTCCTCCGTGATGCCACGTAGTATTTCTGACTTTGATCTGATATGTAGCGAAGGCATCCCTTGTAGTTTTGTCCTTCAGTTTCTGAATGTTGAACTTGGATTGTGGTCTGTCTCCATTTGTTTTCAAAGGTTTCAGCTTCATCTTGAAGGTCGCTTGAACTGGATGATGGTCTGAGCCCACATCTGCTCCCTTTCTCGGTTTTGTGTCTAGCAGACTAGCTGCGTCTCCACTTCTTTGAGATTGAGATGAAATCTATCTGGCTTGTGGTGTCTGTCAGGTGCAACTCATGTTACTTTGTGTATAACCTTGTGCTTGTAAACGCTTCCTCCAATCACCAAATCATTGACTGCGCAGAAGTCTGTGAATAAATTTGTGTTCTCACTCATTTCCCCGAGAGCTTCTCGACGCATAATGAGTCCTCTTCCTGTATTATCAGGTCCTATAGTAAAATTCAAAATAATTCTAGTTGATCGTTATTTACAGACTATATTTAAAGTCGCAGTATCGTTTCAAAGTTAGACAAATATTAGCAAGTTTCCAGCATAAAGTCATGCGGATTCATTTCTTTAAATTTGAACAGGTTGCTTCGTGTATTTACATTAATAGCACAAAAGACGTTTTAAGTACACCTTTTTGTTTTTCAACAATCTTACATTCTTTTGAAACCACGTCTATTATATCATTGCTTTTTCTGTGAATTACGTATTGTGAGTCTGTCTGTCTGTCTGGATTAAACATAGAACTTGGCACCGAAGTGCACCAGTTCGAGTTGCCACGTTCCAAATAGCACACAGAGGTAGACAAGAAGATGAGTGAAGAGAATTAATAGAGTTTGACAAATATAAGAGTGAAACAGAATGGGTAATGGTAGAAAGGAATATGAAAGATTACAGAGACTGAATACATCTTCGCCATTGACAACGATTTTGTGAGTATTGTAGGCTTACAAAATTGTGCTGGGTCATACTGTACGCTCTACGTGTAACTTCGTTATTACCAACCGTATTGCACCACCCAACATGAGAGATTGAATAAAGATACCTATTTCCGCTATCGGCTAATCTGGTTTTACCTTGTAATTTTAGCAGCCCTGTCTGTTAGTCGGATAACAGGATAGATCAAACCGCTGCATTTTGTCAGTTTTGATACAATATTATCTGCGTATTCAAGATCGAGGGGACTTTTCCCTAGGTACATGTCAATCTGTGAAACGTGGAAGTCTGCCGTGGTCACTTTTTCTAGTACGTCTACAGTTAAATTAAACCAAACTGATGGCTTTAAGCCTTACTGATGGACGTCACTAGTCCCCACCACTTCAGATGTCAACACTGCATAAGCTCTGACATAGGTACATTAGTTTGAGTAGACTACATATATTATAACGATACATTTTCATGGTACTTTCTTCATAGCGTGTCACTATCTCAGAATCTTATTTACTTAATTCTTTTAAAAACATTGTGATTTTGATATGCTAATCCATTGAGTTATAATGGCAAATTTTTCATTTCAGCATCCAGCAAATCCTTCATAAGCGTAACATTGTAAATTATCACAGTTGCAACGTAAACACCACTGTGAACCATGGAGCGACCTTGGGACCTAACCAATCGGGAACAAATATATCCAACAGGATCTAACAATTTGTTAAGACTTGCTGGTTCTTCATGGATTGAACCGCTGAAAACTAGTGAATGCACGAACCGCATTATAAATGTGACGTCTTTTGAAAGTAAGTGGAAATTTCCAAGTGTAAATTATTTTATTTATCAGTTGAATTCAAATGTACTTCGATTCTGTCGATCATTAGATAGTTTGTGGGACCTCGGCTTGTCAGCAAAACTTGTCTTCAAGCTCTGGAAATAGATGTCTCTTTTGGGATTCGAACGTATGTCATCCAGTACTGCCGTCTTAGACGTCACCACTGAAGTGTTCGTCTCTGAATACATTACTGAATGGTTATTATCGAAATACTGAAGGAGAATAGTATAACAGCAGTGACAACTAAAAGCAGTTATCAGGATAACTCGTGTAAATTTGATCTGAAGTGTGTAGAAAACTCAAAGATTGGACATTTGGTGTAGTGTATTTAAAGAAAACACACTGGCAGACTTGAAAACGTTAATTTTAATCTCGTTGAGTAATGGAGACGCTTCAGTGTGTCGAAATTTTGGCTTTGAATGCTTTTTCACTAGTTCTACGTATCATGATTTATGATGAGTAGCTTTATGAATATACAATTTCTTAAAGTTGTGTATAATTTCCCCCTTTGATTCTTTCTTATTAGCGGAATGTCAGACTAGTCCGTCTTTTCCAGAAGACAATACAGACAGTATAATTGGACTTTCAAAAAGTGAGGTTAGTGAAATTACATATCTAAACAGTTGCATTTATCTGGTGATTGACTGACTAAGTTTCAACATAGAACTTCTCACAGAAGTGCAGCAGTTCAAGTCGCCATACGCCATACACTATGTAACACACAAAGTAAGAGAAGACAGAATTTGTGCGGTAATGCAGTGAGATATTTACTGTGTAGATACTGGTTGTTTGATGATTAATGCGTTATTTTGAAAGTGTGAACGAAATTCATTTGATCAGTGGTACAATTCTTCAACTCTCCAACTCAATTGATAGCATGTATTCATAGAGCAGTCAGTGCACTTTTATCATTGAATTTAGGAATTTATATCTCTCCGTTATAACTGCCTTAAATTTTTGAAGATGTTTTATAGTTTCTTCCTTGATTTTACTGGTATTTTGTTTAGTTTATTCCACACTTTATTCACACTACTGTATGTTTTGCCTGACAGTTTTCTATCGTAGTTTTCTCTGACTTTTTACAATTTCTCTTTAAGAATCTCGCATCTTTACAAGATGATAATTGGGCTGTGGTTGGTGATGATCTACTATTAACAATTATGGAAGAGGTAAAGTATTTTTGTAAGGTTTTCATTCTAATAATTAGCAGTTAGTATTGTTCCAAAATTTACCAGATTCAATGTAGGATGTGTTTGGCTGTTCTTATGAATATCTGTGTTTTGGACATTAGCTCATTCTTGAATAAAGATCAGCTATAGTAGTGCTCGTTATAAAAAGCGGACATTAGACTAATTTTTTTGACAGTGTCAACACACTAGAAGGAGGTTTTCATTCGCATAAACAAAGACTGACCCCCTTAACTCCTACATAATTTAACTAGATGTAATGGAGATTATAGGATTTATCGAGATTTTGAATTAATTTCAATTGTTAGATTTTTTGTCACGAACTAATATCATTTAGAGAGATTATTGAATACCAAGAAGCGCAATACAGCTGTTTTGTCCTATTTTTGGACTCTTCATTGGATTCCAGCCCAACTGACTGAAAGGTAATTTAGCTTCGTCTCGTAACCTAAAGGTCCTGTGATCAATCCATGGCAGCGTCGTGAGTACGCGTTGCTGAAGAGTCCAGTGTTTCCTGGTTTTTATTGATTTCTCTGACCTATGTTAGTTCGTGATGAAATTCCAACTATTGAAAAATACATAGAATGCGATAAAGAGGAGAGACTTTAATTAGGTAAAACATAAAGGCAATTCGTTAGTTTTCCAGTTAGTGAACAACCACCATAGTGATCACTTATGTATTAATATGTTCTGTATACAGTAAACAACATACACATATACAAACATACATGTGTTGTAATAATTTAACAATGACAGGTTGACAATATAAATATAAATATGTGATGACTAATCACATTTATTTAGACGTAATAATTATAGATCGACGAGTGACGTTTAGGCGATTTCACATCATTTTATATACTATTTGACTACATATTTCGATGTTGAATGAAACCCATGTAGTTGTGCTGAAGAAGCTGTGGTCTACAGTAAAACGTTTAGAAAAATCCTGTTTTGATTTTCTAAACATACTAGAATTATTTTAACTAATATTATATATTGAATCCATCTGACGTGGAGCTCAAATTATTCCAGACCGTTTGCAACATCTGTGGCTTGGGTATTTATAACATGAGGAATTGAACTAGAACACTGTATTCACTGAATTTACATGTTTGATATTTGTAGCATATTCTAAGATTAGAAGTAACAAATGGTGATTAATGGGTAAGAGTGTTTTTATTTGTGTGTCCCATAATTCTGTCATTTTGTTGGTTAAACAGCTGTTGATCAGACTAGTAATTTTCTACAGCATTCTTTTAGATTATTCACCGACTAAGAGAGTTCTTTTGGTTTCGATTAATTGAGTGTTGCTGCGTACTGAGTAGGTTAAACGACCTACGAAAGGTTATGCAGGAAAAATATAAGGTTCAGTAACTCAAGCGTAATAGGAAGAATATAAGAAAACAAAACAGGAAGCGTTTTTTCAGAAATTTTATACATTTATTCCGCTAATGAATCTGAACAAAGCAAGAACTACAGTTTTGCAAAACTGTAGTTCTTGCTTTGTTCAAAAACGGGCAGCATTGCTCACTATAAACCTTTCTCATTCTTAGTTCATGTGCATAAACTGATGTTTTCAAAAATAGGTCTACTGCAATAGTTTATTCATCAGTTCTGCTCTCAGAGTATCCAAATTAGCCAAGTATAATATTTGCCACGGCATAAATGGAACTAAATATATTGAAAACAGTTACTTTTAGTCGGTACATCTGCCTTAGTCTGTAACCATAGTTTAGCTGCTAGGTAACTTGTTTACCAGAACGGTTTAGTCACTGTCTACTGTCTTAGGTATCCAAATTCTAGATAACAATCCTGCGTTTGAAAGGCTTTCCACATTTTGCTATCTGTGGATTCATTTAGTCCTATAAAACCTTGCCTATTCTAATTTCAAAGTCCCCACCCAGTATTTATATGTGGGAGGCTGTCAAGCTATATTATATATGCATTACAACTACAATTCAGACCAGATTTTGAGATGCTTATTCTTTCCGGCAATGATATCGATGAAATATTGATTCTTACTTGGTGATAATATCAAGTTATAATTCTTCACTGGATTGGTAATTTCCACTCCACTTTGCCATGTAGAATTAAAAATGTAACAACAACTGACAAAATAGTGAAAAGATAATGAACAGTTAATTCACTGCAACACTGATTTATACATAAGGGATGTTTGGCAAAAGACATGGGTCTCCAATCTATCTGATGGGTAAATAATTATTCATTAGTAAATTGAGTTGCTTTTGTGAAAAATGTGGAGTCCATCTGTGAATATTAACTTCTTTTCCTGCTAATTTATTTAGTTCGAGTACTTTGTATATATATTTATCACTGAAAAATTACTTGCTTGAAGAAGATAGGGAAATCAAAATTGTTCTTTTTTTGATGGGTTCATAAATCAAGACTTTGTTTATTCAAAGGTAGAGGTGTTAAGAGCCCCTAATTGGCTTTTCAGATTGACTTATTTTCCCAGATATTATGAATATGGATCACTAGGAAAATCACTTGATAGTCATTGGATGTCTGAAGCTTCCTGCTGATTGCCTCCAACCATCTAATACTAACAATTTACAGTGAACCGTGATGGGGAGCCACCTAGCATGGTGGTCACATTGCAAACTTAACTAATAGAGTTCAGTCTGCACCAAAGATAGAACTAGACGCACACACACACACACATTACACTAGTTACTGACTAGCATCCAATCAAAAATATCCGATAGAGTCCTATAGAAGGTCAATCGCGAGCCTGAATAGCTCAATGGTAAAGTATCTGACTGCAACACTGGGTGATGCGGGTTCGAATTACAGAAGGGACATGAGTTCCTTCGAGGTTGCAGGTATGTCTTGCTGATGATTGCCAACTAGTACGAAACCTAGGTCCAAGGCTTCCTACCGATTGTTTTCAACTTTCTAATACCAACAATAATTTCCAAAGTGCAATACAATGATTGAGTACCATACCACACTTCGAATCGTTACAACCTGCAGCTGATGTTTATATTGTTAGTATAAAACAGTACGTCAATATTCTTCCTTCTAGTGTAGTTCACAGCTTGCTTTTGTTTTATTATCAGTGTTGAAAGCAGAAGCATGATAACGCAAAAGTATTTCATTAGATAATAGCACAACCGGGGTTGGATAGACTTGGGCCTTCTTCTCAAAATACTCATACGGCTACACGTTCGTGACCTCTGCCGGTTAAGTCCTATTCACTGCTTTCACACAGCGGAAGTGTCCCTCACTAAGTGAAAGGGTGAATTCGAACGTCTGGCGTTTACATCCAGATCCTTGGACATGCTGGTCTACCTAGGAGAGCTGGAGAATCCTAAATTCAAACCTATGGCCTAAATGGACTCCAGATTCCTAAGGGATCAAATGGTTTATGAACCTGTTTTGCCCGCTGGAAACCATGGAAACACTGCTCCGTTGCCTTGTGGATCAGACTTCAAGTCAAAGTCTCAGGAGAGTAGGAAGATGGCTTCCTGTCTCGGTCTAGGTGTCCAGGCAGTACCTTAGCCCTTTCATAAACTGTATGATTCTGTGTGGTGCTTCTTTTGGTACCTATAATATACCATAATGCTTTAGCAATAATAATAATAATCACTAGGTAAAAGTCTATTTTAAATACAGTTAAATTTTAATCTACTTTTATCATTCTACTTGGAATTTCAAATGCCAGTGTGTTTTGTTCTCTAATTACCGTCTGCATTCTATGATTGCAATAATGTCTTGAGATCTCACTTACCACAATTATAACTGTGCTTTGAAGCTTTGATAGCGATTGGATTCATTTTCCGGGGTAGAGTCGCTAGCCCCACACCCAACTTTCTCCGGACGTAGGGCAGATTAGTAAATTAGGCGGGGTTACAGTTATAGTATTTCCTGTTCCACTAAAACACGATTATGAAATAAATGTAGCCGTAATTTAAGTAGTTTAATGGTTAGTAAACATTCCATCGACTGAAATATATGAAAAAATAGTTGTTCATTGTTTTATGTCAAGGCATATGGTACATGTAGTTTTGTGAACATTGATTATCTATGTAATAAAAGTGATTATTCAGAGAGTTTTATGACTATTACTAGTAAAATAAAATTTATGCATAAATGTTAGTAGTTTTGCTGTTTCGTTTTGTTTTGGCCTATATAATTAGGCTTCGTTTAGTGCATTCACATGCTATTTACTACCGTGCACATTTCGTAGAGTATTTGTTTAGCTGCTAGTGTGTAAATGTGTTAGATGTATGTTTAGCCATTCGAAGTCCGTGTAGTCTTAAACGTATCGGGACACTTTTTGTGTAGCCATACATGGAAGCAGTTGGAAGGAGGCCTTACTTTTCATTTTTTTTCTTTCATTGAATGAAAAGCCTGTGCGAAACCAGACAAATCACTTCTGTTGATGAGATTGTAATATTCACTTATGTACTTTTGAAATCCCTACTGATCTTCATGCTCCAGCGAGTTATACTGGTACCTATTTCTCCGAGTATCAACCAAGATTTTACCGTCAGTTGTTGCATGGTGATACTTTGTGTCATCGAACTTATCAGTACATCACGGGACACATTGATACCTCAAGACCAGAAATGTTTGCTGAGTATTAAGAATGAAGATGTATAATATCCTAAATCCTTGTGAGAGGTATTACAGTCAGTGTGAAAATGAGTTACTCATTTGCTAAGTGCTTATTTACATGTAGACTTGTATTCAGCTGCCAAGGTGAAAAGCTATTGCTTTCATGGCGTTTTTCTGCTGTTTCTTGATTATGATTAATCTCTTGGTCCCTCAAGTGTGTTAAGGAAACAGTTTTATCGGTAACTTTGTCTTAGTCTTCTCGGTGACTATGATTTTGTCGTTTTTGAGATTCATCAGAGCCAGTCTTTCCGATTTCTTTAAGTTTGTCTGTGCTTTCTTTAGTTGCTTCACTTTTAATACACACTAAGCTCGAATCTTTTTTGCTTTTCTCTTATCGACTGAACCTTGTGTCACCTCTGCTAGAAACAACTCCCTGTGATATCAATCTACCAACTGTCACGATGAAGTTGAATCCTCTCTCCAGCACTTTTATCTCATTAGACCTCAGTTCTCTTGTGTTTAATAAGCTTGTGGAAAAAACTAAGTGTCCTTCTTTTTCAAGCACTCACTTATCACATCACTAATGCATAAGTTGGGACTTTTTCATTACTTATCCGGTTTTTACATTAGGTAAATCACATAGTTAATTTTCAAACAATTTTAACTAATACGCTACTAGAGGGTGATATAACCAACTAAATTGGACTGGTGTTCAACTTTTTTTTACTCAGGAGTCGTTGAACTGATATTTCACATCTGAAAATTGTCTAGGTTATCACAGTGAAATTTTCTAGGTGTTTTGATTAATCTGTAAGGCATAGTCAATTTCATCAGTATACAAACTGAAAAAAATTGTTGGAAACAGTTCAAGAGGTGTGTAGCAGACTTTCGTCTCATCAACTTATCCAAAAAATCAAATAATAACTTGACGTCTTATCTTTGTTGCTGTATATGCAGTCAGGTTAACTAAGTTTTAAAATGACTTTTGTTTGAATTTACTCCTAGTGGTCAAAAGTGAAAGTGTTTGTGATGTATATTAAAGAATCAAACTGATTCAAGGCAGAGTTTTGGACACTTATCTTTAAGGTTAGACCTTGGATTGATATCATTTAGAGAACCATTGATGGTGGCTACTGTCTGGCTACAGGACGAAGTTGCCTGAAGTTCTAGTAAGAAGTCGTGACCAGTAAGGTTCATGTAGTCAGGAGTGAGTATGGAGTTCCCGCCAATGATATCGGTTGGCGACGGCGCTAAAATCACGAATTGGTAGAAGTTAGAATTCATAGGCCATTGGATTGAGTCTCAGTAAGTGAATAATATACGTGCTTGTCTTGCAACCGGAGGGTCCTGGGTTCGAAACCCAATAGGTGCGTACTACCGACGAATCCCAAACTAGGATGAAACAGCAGCTATCCAGTACTCCCTAGTCTCAAATAGTCCGTTGTCTGAATTGAAACAAATACAATCCCTACAAACTAATTCTTGAAAACCTATCCTTAAACATTGTTAGAGTGGGAGGGATTTGTTTCCTATTATTCCACTTTTTATGAATTGTTCAGTCGATATTTAATTCCTATAATAAATCATCTTAATTGCAGTAACATCCAGTCACTTATATTCTTCACCTCTTCTTTATGTATCTGGTAATCATAGCCGCCAATAAACTTTTGATGTGCAATAACTTTGTTCTATGTTACCTGTCAGTGTTAGTTTTATTACTTCAGTTGTTATCCTCGTTGAATTAGACCGAGTACATCAGATCATTCAGTGTATATATATAGCTGTTTACATGGTTTTTTCCAGCGAATTTTCTCTCCCTTATTCATTTTCTTGTTTTTAAATATTGTGCTATTTTTCTATTCTTCAATCTATTTAACATAGTTTAAGGAAGACCAAGTGAGCTAATAATAACAGCAATAATGATAAATATATTAATAATGATGACCAACAATATATTATAAAGAATATATATATATATATATATATATATATCAAAATGTCATTAATTCGTAGACGATTCCTTCCGAAATGGATTCTCCATTTCGTGGATGTTGAAAGTCAATAAAAAAAGATGTGATAAATCAATACTTGACGCTGTTGTCAAATTCTTGAAAAGAGTGTTGTTCATTCAAGTACTGTTTTACAAAAGACACTTTTGTATATGTGGGGTGTATTTTTTGAAAATATTTTAAAAAAGTAACAATCATTGGTTTATTTCACATGATGGCAAAATATCTATTCAAGATATTTTAGGCTCTCAGTGTCTGTTTTTGTTGATATTGTCATCTTATTATAAAAACTGTGTGAATCACTCGTGTGTACAATATTTACAGCTGTCTTATTACCGAATAGTTGTGTGTGTGTGTGTGGTGAATTTGACTTATAACTGTAGTTAGATATGTTTAACTTATTGATAGCATTGATATTTCAAATGTTGTATATAGGTGCAGTAGTGTTAACTATTTTTGTTTTTAGCTATCCCTGATGTTAATGCAATGTGTGTCGTGTAATAGACTAGACAAATTATTTCATTCCAAATATGCATTTCCGTAGTTAGATTGTTATATATATATCAAACTACGAGTTTCAGTATAGTAATAATAATAGTGAATTAACAATGATATCTCTTTCTTTGTGAATGTTAGTTGCTTATCCTATTCACCATCTAACCTATTTTTATCGTTAAATGGCAATTGTCATTCAATAAATAAGCGTTTTTAACCTTTTTCTTTTTTATTGTTTTGTCAATTGAAACATTTAGGATGTTGAACGATTAGTTGAGTTATTCCCTGGAGCATGTAAATTTGATTATGAGAATGGAGAGAACAGTGTATTCTTTGGGCGTTGTAAACGGTGTTCAGTTCGTCTTAAACCAAGTATGTATGGTAGAAGAATGTGGAAAAAGAGATGCACCGTTTTTGTAATGTTTTCTTCTAGATTAACCTGATTATTTATTCAGTTAAAAGTTTATTTCCGTAATAATGTAACCATTATGTCCTCAATCGTAAATATCACCTAATAGAAGACGATTTTCTTCAGAATGTATGTCAGTAGTGGGAAAAGGGATATTAAATGTGCTTAAATCTAGCTTAGAACTCCTTAAAAAAAAGCTCATCATGAATGCCTTTCGGCGATTTTCCGTGATTTATTAGGTTAAGCACTAGGCTTTCAACCTACTGGTCGCGGGTTCGAGTCCCACCCCACTTATTTGAGTCTGGACAATTGGTTAGGGGCATCAGCCATGACACAATAAGTGTGGCTCACCGCTTGGAATATGAAAAACCTTTCCCAAGAGAATGAATTCAAATAATAAATTTTTATACCACTCCATAAGTTATTAGTGTAACTTTCTATCAATTCATTTAATGAAATGTTTCTTCTAAAACAAATTATGGCGATAATATATTATCTTATCTTACAATCAACCATACAATAAAAGTTATACCTACTCACTTTATTAGCATTCGAACATTCGGTTCTAATGTAGAGAAGCCAGTCGTGCAACTTTAAGTATATGGTTCTCTTTATTTTAGGCTTGCTTTCTCATTATGCAAATGAGTACTAATGTTGTATTTCTAGAATTTAGGCTATCAAAAACTGTCACTTTGCATAAGCTTAATTAGCTTACAGTAACTTCACCATTTTTTTTCATACTCCCGTCTACCTTATTTGTGTAAATTGTGTAATTTGTCACTTTTTTGTAGTATGTAAATGCATAGTATTAGTCACATATGTATAATTACTGACAGCTATGATTAGATATGTTTCTAAAATGGTTAGAATTTGCAATAACTACTGTAGGGACGAAGAATATATCGCCCAGAAAATATGCAAAAGTAAATGAAGATGGATTGGGCATACGCTGAGGAGACCGTTTATTTAGTGATACTTACATGTCAGGTTATCGAGTGCAGTCCGAACAGGAAACGAGGAGTTGGACGTGGGTCCTATAGTAACACAGATGAGATGAAAGCTTGCGTGCAATCATGGAGGCAGCTGCTCAAAAGGATTACGGAGAACAGAGTATAATGGAGATGTTCTGTTGTACCCCTATGTTCCAACTGGAACCCAAGGGAATAATAATTCTATTGTAGGGGTGATATTCCTACGGTATTATAACACTCTATTTGATTAATAGGAACAGTAATTTATTGTCATGACTTATGAACTGGCACACACTGCTTGTTGTTGTTTTTTAAATATTACCGTAAATTTTATGAGGTTCATAAGACTACTTACGAATTTCATCATGAGCTGACATTAGTTAGAAAACCATTGGAAAACCTGGTAGTACTGGACAGCTGTTTTGTCCTAGTTTGGGACTCTTCAGTAGTACACAAACACCAGGGTTCGAACCCAGGTGAGTTCCTATACCATTAAGCCACTGGGATCCGATCCAATGGCCCATGAATTCTAACTTCTGCCAATTCACGGCATGGCGCGACCCTTTGCCAATGTCTTCGGCGAGTATTTGTCCTCACACCCTACTGGTCATGACTGCTTACTAATTGGTAGAAGTTAGAATTCATGGACCATATGATTGGGCCTCAGTGGTTGAGGGGTATACGAGCTCGCCTTGTTACCAGAACGTTCTGAGTTCGAACCCCGGCGGGTTCGTACTGCTGAAGAGTCCCAAACTAAGGCGAAAAAGCTGTCCAGTACTCCCAGGTTTTCCAATGGTTCTCTAACCAATGTCAGCTCATGCTGATATCCTGTAACCAATCAACCAAATTCTTACAAACCAATACCTGAAAATATATTACATTAATTGACTAACTTATAAACCAGCTTTGCACAGAAGCATAGTAGTTCAAGTTGTTACATTCTAAAATCACATAAATACATGTGATTAAAATTGGAATGATACTATAGTGGTTAAGATTCAGTTTGCGTGCGAGAGAGATGATAAGCAGTAAAAATACACTTGTGTCATTCGAAACTGTTATGAACGATGAAATAATAGATTCCTAGCACATGGAGAATACTAATCACATAACAATGATTTTCGTAAGTGCTGCAGACTAACATTCAATGATTTTATGAATTGTTACTGTATTGTGCTCTGACCATCATTGCTAATTTGATTCTACATTAGTCACCATTACTCATTAAGATCCTTAGCTTAACATAAGTAGCACCATAACCCAGAGAGCTTAGTCGATGGAAAAAGATTGTTTCATCGGCGAATCTAATTTCCTCACCTAACTCTGTGCTGAAACCTCTACATTACTTACGATTAAGTCCCATCTCGCAATAGATTTGCAATGAAGACATATCATCAAAAGCCTGTAATTTAGTCTCATATACTTTTAGTGATCGTCTCTCTTAGCCGTGAAGTAGGACAAGGTCACCCGCTTAAAACTACTCAACCTCTTAACATTTGAGTTAAAGTCAGATCCATAAGGCGGTAGGGCAGTGCCTACACGGTTTCTGGTGGTCAAAACAGGTTTATGTGTCATTTGATCCCTTCGGATTCTGTGGCCCATATACACCGTAGGTTTGAAATCAGAATTTTCTAGCTCTCCTAGTTAGACCAGCTTGTCCAACAGTTCAGATGTAAGCGCCAAGCGTTCGAATTAGCCCTTTCACTTTTGTGAGTAACACGTCTGCTGCGTGGAGGGAGTGAATAGAACTTACCCGTCAGAAGCTATAAACGCATGGCCATGTGAGGGCATTTCGAGAGGAGGACTGAAGTCTACCCACCCTCATCCATATCAGGTCGTTTATGGGGGCAAAATTATCATATGATAATTACAACCCCTTTTCAGTATAGCCTAATAGTTCCTTCATTTCAATGGTTGGTGATAAATTAGGCATGAATTTAAAATAAGTCCAATTTCACTTTTGTTAATTAATGAATTTGTATACTGGGCTGATCTTTTATATTTTTTTAATCTTTTCTTTGCTCAATAAAATTTAGATCACGCCTTCCTAGATTATTATGATGCATGTTTTTATTGTGTGAATTGTCATCAACTACAAGAAGCAGTTATTCCACGTGATATCATAACAAACTGGGATTTCTCACCGAAACCAGGTATTCACCCCTTCCTATCTTGTTATTTTGTTATTCTCAATAGAGTGTTTATATTTAAATGCTTATGATGTATACTAATGATAATAGTAACAACGATCGTAATTATAGAGAGCTCAATGAATAGATATGGGTTAGTGAAATTGAGAGTGTGAAGTAAAGCAGAGCGGGACTGAAACCTATCTAACGTTTGAGTGCTAACAGTAAATCAAAGACTTGTTAATATATATGTGTGATTTGTGAAAGAGATAGTGACATGCCGAAGGACAAGGGTGAATTTAATAAATCCCTTTTCGTTACTTTCCAAAAGTAGTTATATTAATTACACTAAACATAATTCCATCTCCCCTTAAGTACACTGATCGACTGGAATTAAGACTATCTGCACAGCTTAGCTAATTAGTAAAGTCTAATTAAGCTTGAGCGTTTTCATGTTATTCGGCCAGAAAGTTTGCAATACTGACTGATTGGTCTCAACGTAGAACTTTACACATATATTCAGCAGTTCGAATTGCCACATTCCATGCACCACACAAAACAAGAGAAGGGAGATGCAAAAGACAGATAACAAACAGAAGTGCGAGGCAAAAAATAGTTATATGGAAGAACGGTAGAATTTTATTGGATCTAAATCACAAAGACTGAATGCATCTGCGCCATCACTAAGAACGATTGTGAACCATATCACCGATTGTCTCCAGTTATTGCTTTCTACCATCCTGAGGACCTCAAAGAGGAAGTCTACACCACCCTACGTGGCTCAAAATAACTGCTATAGATTTAATGGGCTGATTTCATGTTTTGGTGTAACCACCACTAGCCAACTCTTTTCCAACCTGATCCTATATCAGCTAACATTGCCCACTGAGGAGGCTAGGCTGGGCATGCATAACCATCTCAGTCGGTGTACCTTTACAACCTCATTGATTGATTTCCCCTCCTTATCTAGCATTCAACCAAAGCCTAACATAAATATTGCTCACCCTGTTATTACCACTACATCACACGGGAGATAGAATACGGGCATCTATGATCAAAGACAGCTAACCAGCCTTTTCATGTCTTCCACCTTCAGTGAACATGTCTCACTCACAGCCATAAAGGAGGACAGAGAAAACTGTGGCTGAGAAGTACACAGGTCGTTTGATCGACAGCCAACCGGATACCAAGTCTACTAAGCCAGAGATGACGTAATTTGGCAGGCGTATGCCAAAAGAGCCTTCTGTATCCGTGCTGTCTGACTGTGAAGGGATTGCCAAGAAAGTACATTGCACTAATCAAGGCACTCTATTCAAACTCAGGTAGTCGTGTAAGGGCTTATGGGGAATTGTCATCTGAATTGGTAACAACCAGTGGTGTCCGACATGGATGTCCACTTTCCCCATTTCTGTTTAACTTCATCATAGATATCCTGATGGAAGTATCCTTAACTGAACGTAACGACTTAGGAATCGACTTGTTACCAGGGAATAGTCTTATGGACTTAGAATATGCAGATGACATAGTCCTGTTAGGGGAGGATGCTGACAAAATGCAGAGTCTTCTGAACACCTTGAGCAGCAATCTTCGTATGTTTGGCATGCGATTCGCCCCTACAAAATGTAAGATGCTGCTACAGGACTGGACCACGTCAACCCCCAACTTAGTGATAGGGAGTGAAGTGATAGAACATGTTGACCACTTCACCTATTTGGGAAGTTGTATCAGCACCAACGGACTGATTGGCGATGAAATCTCAGCACGGATCCGAAAAGCTCGAGCTGCTTTTGCTGACTTACACCATCTCTGGAGTAGGCGTGACATCCGGCTATCAACCAAGGGACGTGTGTACTGCTCAACAGTTCGCTCCGTCCTTGTCTATGGCTCTGAAACATGGCCAATACGAGTTGAAGACATGAAAAGGTTGACTGCTTTCGATCATAGATGTCTGCGATCTCTGTCTCACGTTAGGTGGTTTCACGAGGTAAGTAATGTTGATGTTAGGCGTAGAGTGTTGGGCAGGCAAAGAGGGAAAATCAATCGACGAGGCTATAAAGTTACATAGACTGAGATGGCTAGGTCACGTGCTGCGCATGCCTGACCATCGCCTCCCCCGACGGGCATTACTAGCTGATATAGGTGGTGCAGGTAGGAAAAGAGTAAGTGGTGGCCAAACAAAAACATGGCCTCATCAATCCATGAAATCCTTGACAGTTAAACTGAGTTAGGTAGGGAGATGCAGACTTCCGGGTTGGGGCCCTCGGGACTCTAGGAATCAATGGCTGGAGACAATAGGTGACATGGCTCAAAATCGTTGTCATTGGCTAGCGCAGATGTATTCAGTCTCTGTAATCTTTCATATTCCTTTCTACCATTACCCATTCTGTTTCACTCTTATACTTGTCAAACTCTATTGATTCTCTTCACTCATCTTCTTGTCTACCTTTGTGTGCTATTTGGAACGTGGCAACTCGAACTGGTGCACTTCGGTGCCAAGTTCTATGTTGAATCCAGACAGACAAAGAGAGTATCCGCGCTGAGATTTCGTCAGTGATCAATCCGCTGGGGATAACTGGTGCAACTTCTCAAATAAGTGATCTGGTCAACATGCTCTACCACTTCACTCTTGCCTATGTTTAAGCTAGGAGTGGGTCGATGTAGTCCAGTTAAGTCCTGTGGTCTTATCATCTTACATTTGATAGTAGGAGCGAATCGCATGCTAATCATTCGATGATTGATGCTCGAGGTGTTCAGAAGACTCTTCTCTGTTATGTCTGCGTCTTCATCCCGATGGGAGGACTATATCATCTGCATATTCTAAGTTAACGAGATTATTCTTTGCTCAAGCAACAAGTCAATCCGTGAGTGGCTGAAGTCAGTTAGGGTTAAGTCCATTATCACATACTTCTATGATGAAATTAAAGAGAAATGTAGACAGTGGGCATTCGTGACGGACACCGCTGGTTGTCACCACTTCAGAAGACAATTCTCCGTAGACTCTTATTTGGCTGCATGAGTTCGAGTAGAGTGTCTTGATCAGTCCGATGCATTTTCTCAGCATTCCCTTCATAGCTAAACATCGCCGTAGTACCTGTCGGTTGGTGGAATCGAATGCCGCCTTCAGGTCAAGAAATATGACGATTGTTGGACGCCCGTAAGTATGTATATGTTCCAGAATCTGTTGAAGGGTGAAGATATGATCTCTACACCTTCTTCCTAGTCTAAAGCCTGCCTGGTTCCCGCATGTTCGCAGCACAGTACTATTAAGCGCTTCTAGGATGTGTGTACATAAAGCATGGATATTTAGAGGATTTTATGCGTATCGTTTTAGTCAAAAACTACATATCAAAAACTAATTGTCATAACTTACTTACTTTACTTCGGCTATCTCCTACGGGAGGATGAGCCGGCTTCATGAACCATGAAGTTTCATGGGAATTGGGTACGAGTGATGTCCCCAGCATCGCTCGGCCTTTGTTTGAGAGTGCAGCTCTAGCCTTTACACAACCAATTGTGACCTACAAGGCAGTAGGAGTGGAGTAGGGAGTCCACTATCCATTGGCAGCCGGTGACCGGAGTCCGGTTCATTCGCCTTTTTGAATGGGGCCAGTCATCCAGGGCATCCAATAAGCCTTTTGTCCATACGTCTGACGGTGAGGTCCGGTGAGCTTCATACGCCAGTCGTTGGAGGTTTGGAATCAGGGTTTAGCCATCTCCCCTAGACTGTCATCCAATGGACAGTCAACCCGGTGAAGAGCGCCGGGCATCCGATTTTGCCCTCTCACTTTGGTGAAAAACACCTCCGCCACGTCATAAGTCAATGACCTTATTTAATGGGTTATATTACACTGAATGCTATTATGAGGTCACTTCATGAATTGTTTTGAGTAGTTGAGTGGCACTATTAAACATATTTCTCATTCTTTTAAACGAACCCATACGAAATTAGACGATTTGAATATAATGAATGTCATATTCAGTAGTGATATACGTAAGACAAGGAATGCATTTTCAAGTGTCAACCACTGCATCAAATACTAAAATTCAGAAAGAATCCTTGAAAGTTACCATAAGTAGGCTCTCTATCATTAGATATCGAAATCCATTTTGATATAAGTAGCTCTTATCATCTACCCGAAGATATATACATTTAATCACGGTGAGCAACTTATTTAGACATTGTTTGAATTCGCCAACTTTGAGTTTTCACCGATATGTCTCTTACGCGTACTTAGTAGTAGTGTGGTTGAAATATTTTTTTAATGGTCTACAATCACATCCTGATTCATAAATCCTTGTTACTGTTTTGAGGGATTATAGAAAGTTTTGTTGTCAACTTTAACATGTTATAGGATTTTCAACATGAGCTGACATTAGTTGGAGAACCATTGGAAAAGCTAAGACTACTGGACAGCTGTTTTGTCCTAGTTTGGGACTCTTCATCAGTACGCACCCACCGGGGTTCGAACCCATGACCTCCTGGTTACAAGCAGAGCTGGTATACCGTTAAGCCACTGGGACCCCTTCGAATGGCCCACGAATCCTAACTTCTTATTCACGACATAGCGCGACCCCAGCCAGTGTCTCCGGCAAGTGTTTGTCCTCACACCCGACCTGCTTCACCCTACTGGTCACGACTTTTCACTAGAACCCCAGGTAACCACCTACCTGAGTAGGGCCAGTCGCTAGTTATAATTAGCCAGCAGGAATTCAGGTGTTTTCTGTAATTCTTCCTGCGCGAAATGAAACCGAGTACACCACTTGAGTTACCAGCAGTAAATGGTGTGATAATTTATGACTTATTTACAAAGTTCTACATTGAAAATCCACTTCACTTCAGTTACTTATGACTTTTATATATTTTACGTTATTGTTTTGAGTATTTCATTCTGCTAAATTTTTATATTTTCATATTACAGTTTCTCAGATTACTCATCAATTCTTAAGTGCACTACATAATAGGCCTGTAATAAATTTGGCTAAATTAAATCCTATTCTGTATGCTGCTATACCTGATTTATATCTAATTAGACAACTTCGACGTACTCTAGTACTGCTGTGGCATCAAATAGTTCAATGTGATGGTAAAACAGTTAGAAAATTACGAGATTGTTTCCATTCTCGAATGTATATGCTGCGTAATATCAGTGATATTGATGTGTATTCAGTAATAGTAAGCTTTTTGTTTTATTGTAAATCTACTAAAAACCCTCCTTGTTCATTAAATATTTTTATTGAGTTGTATTTAATTACAATGTAAAGAATAGTTGTGATTAGTTGACTCTAAGAGAGTCTACCATAGTTGTGTACATCTTTCCCATAGTAAGTAAACTGAAGAATGGAGTTAATACAATGAAATGCTTATACGTTTAGAAATATCCCGTGCTTTATTGTGTAGAACATTCAATCTATACGGTGATTATAAACGAGGAGCGAGCGAGCAACATACCGCCGGTCAATCGACATCTGTCGGTTGCTAGTACTGTCTCAATTCATTCACTACTTACAGGTCTAACAACACCAACTGGAAACACTTCTCTCGAAACTGGGCGAAGACGAGATTGTTAAGAGTCTTTCCTAGTCGTCTACTGTCCGCTTACCTCCATTCTGAACTCTCAACATACACTTGTTCGCCTTCAATTCCTCTTGTCTCACCTTAACTCCCCTGAGAAAAAAAAATCAAACCATATACATTGCAACTCAGGTTCCACTCATCTCACGCTTGACATGACAACAAGCGAAATAGGTGAAAAATCGGCAAACAATGGACATGGTCAATAGTAGGAAAAAGTGGGCGAATTTTTGTTGTGAGGTAATTCTTCCCATTCTCACCATTAAATGATCAATATTTCACCATTTTAATTATTATTTAATCAGCATTCGTCCATTATATTAACATTCCTACCATTTGGCCGAAATCGTGCCCATTCTAACCACAATTTAACCATTGATCAGCAATTTTTGTCCGACAGGGAGGATTCAGCTGATCCACTTATCTCAAAACATCACAGCTCTAGCCGACTTTCATCATCTACTATTGAGTCATTTAATTCAGTGAGACAATCACAATGCGTCACTCAGTCGGATAATGTCGGCCTACAAAAGACATGGGTCTCTGCCTCTCTCCGTCACTCAGTTTACATGAGCATTGCTGAAGACGAAGATGCATAGACAGAATGCGTTCACCAGGACATGCGGGAATTCGTTTCACGTTACTCCATCCGATGTTTGCAAACAGCCAATCAATCCACCTATCGACCGACTGACCAATCGGTCAGCTGTTGTAAATTAACTCACCTACTTGACTATGTGTGGCGAGTTGTAGTGTATGAATGATTGTGTAAAAAAACTGAGTTAGTATTGATTCAGTGATGTACAAAGTTAAGAGTCATTTATGCATCTTTAAAGAAAAACTGACTGTTACATGTAATTTGTGCTAATTAGATGTATTCTATGCTAGATGTCTAGTTTGCTCTAAAATGTTTTTAGTTATTCGCACACATATATACTTCAGTGTATATTCTGTTAAGTTTCAACTTTGAAGCAACTTAGTAATTCATCATTTTTGAATTTAATAGAGTGTTTGTTTAAATGATTTTTACTGAAAGTGTTACATTAAGTGAACCCATAACACCAAGTGTTTGCATAGAGACACTTGTGTATACATAAGATTCTATCCACTTAAATAGAAGAAGCTGTTTTGATCACTTATGTTTCATAAACTAGAAATCTTCATTCAGAACTTTTGGTTGGTTATTCTGTATAAACCTATAAGGAATAAAAGACTGACTTATAAAGTGCTCAGATACACATCTTTAAGCGTAGCTGTAATACTTTTGTCAGATAGAAGAAACACAATTCTTACTACTAATTCAGAGTATTCAGTCTATAAACAGTTGATGCATTTATTCCCCTTGATGAATTTGAATAAAGCAAGAACAACAGTGGTTTGTACAGAATAATATGGTACCATCATTGCTTATTTCGTTGGCTTCTCATCAGCTGCTGCTTACAGCCTAAGTAAATTATGAGGTTTACCTACAAACAAGTTTTAACTTACTTGCAAATTTTACATGTTGTCAGTTGACAGAAAGTTCCACAATTGGTGAGCAGTGCTCAGAAAATTGCGCTTATATAGTTTTTACACAGGTAGTTTAAGTCAAAATAAATGTATGTATACAATGGTAAAGGAGTTACGTAATAAAGACGAGAGGTGAGTAAGATGATGAGTAACTACTAAATTGGGTAGCAGTGTACTGAGTTCAACTTAAATCATAGAAACAAGGGACAAGCAAAATTACAGATTATAAAAGGGGGTGAGGTTAAAGACAAAGATTACGTAATCAGATGAGAGAAAGAAAGACATCCACTTACCAGGTTAAGGAAGGACTAATAACTGCTTCTTTCTGAATACATACATCTAGTTTGAAGCGTTTGATAGAAATTGCTTCGGCAAACCTGAGGAGAATGGAGCTCCTTTGTCTATTGATAATTTTAAAGGATTTCTCGATTTCCACCACATGATCCGTGTCGAGGAGATGCCTGGCGATGCTGTAAACAGTGCCATATTATTCTGCACAAAGCACTGTTGTTCTTGCTTTATTCATATAAACAGCTGCCTTGTATATACATATATATATATATATATCATAGAAAAAACATGACAATTACAATTTAATGAGTGCCATCTTGCGATAAAATTCACACTCGAAATGGAGAACGAGTCTAGCATTCATTTCCTCGATGTGAACTTATCAAGAAGGACCGATGGAACTCTAAAGAGATCGATTTATCGTAAGCTGTTATGGAATGGTCAACTGACAAATTTCTACAGCTGGGTACCCATTGGTCGAAAACGAAACCTGATCCGGTCGCTTGCCACTCGTATTCGACGCATATGTAGCCCTGATACTGTGGAAGATGAGTTATAGACTTTGAGGAAAATCCTAATGGAAAATGGATTTCCACCACGTTTTATAGATAAGAATATACATTCAAAGCCTACAAAACGTGACTTATCAACCGCTCCCAAGAAAATACTTTACATGAGCTTAGAATTCAAAGGGGATTTAGCTCCCGATATCATGAAACGAAGGATATCAGAGTCCCTGGAAAGAACATTCCCTGCTGCCTCTCTGAGAATAGCTTTTACTAGTCGACCATTATTGTTCAATAACCTGAAGGACAAGATCCCACTGTTGACCAACTCTATGTGCGTTTATCAATTCACCTGCTCTTGTGGAGCTAGGTATATCGGTCTTTCGACTCGAGTTTTGTCCAAGAGAGTGCAAGAACACCATCCTGCATGGCTACGAAAAGGTGGAAGTGGAGCAATAAGAAGCGCGATCATAGAACATCTGGTCGATAATGATCACCCTATCTTTATAGCCTCTGCCTTTAAAGTCATCTACAAGGCAAAGAGCAATCTACCCAAATCCCTATGTACCCGGCTCATCTGTATTGCTGAAGCTTTGGCTATCGAAACAGAAAAACCAATTATTCATCACATTAGTTCTTATCCAAACATCCTGTCTATTTTGTTATTTCTACATTTCTAACTCCTAATTGCACAATGTCAATCTTCTTAGCTATCATGATGCTACTTTGTTTGTTTTATCCATCCCGCTGTTTATTATGACATTTTAATTCCTAATTTTAATTTTTACTAATTTGACCCTTGACCGGATATTATTCTGGAACTTTCCTATCCATTTGATATAAATACACGAATGTACAGTCAAGATGATCACTTCGTCGAAAAGAAAATTTTCTTCGCTGCAATTGTCTTCTCAATAACTCCTATGACCCAATGTGTATATTCCGTGATTTGAAGAGAAGCAAGGACCGTTCGACGGTAAAGGAACTGAACAAGTTTCTGCGTTTGTCCGTCAAGCTTGCTGAGGCGAACGCAAAGGTTTTCTTCTTCAAGAATTGTCTCGAGAAACATGAATATCCCAAAGTGTTTTGGAAGCATCTCAGACGAAATCACATATCCCCTAACTCACGTACACTGAAACGACACACTCTGAATCACATCGATGCAGTGAGATCAAGACTACCTGAGCTAGAACAGAATATCTCAAAAAGCTCCCACGTCCTCTATGAGTTATCTGAAGACGAGAGAACATCATTCGAAAACTACTTCAATACGGTTACAAAGAAAAGAACAGATGATGTTTTAATGAAACTAAACCAAAGCCTAAAGTCCGTTACAAAAGAAACCGTCTTTCCAGAAAAATACGTCTACAATTATTCCGATGTTCCACTATCTCCAATTCAAATGCAAATTCTAGCACTTGGACCTAAATTTTGTGATGCAACGTCAAAAGTGAATGAACTGAACACGAAAGTGCAATTTGAGAATTTAATAGACCAGACGAAAGATCTGGCCCCGACCTCATATGAGAATGCAGAACTTTTCAAATCAACCGTTTTAAATTGCTGCCTCGATTACATCAACAAAAAACCCAGCCTTCGTAACGTACTTTCCAAAGAACATCGAAAGCAGCTGAAAGAACTGAAGGACAATGAAAACTTGATCATCACACGACCAGATAAAGATTCCGGAATCGTCTTGATGAACAAATCAGACCACCTAAGCAAACTCTCGGTCATGCTATCTGATGATAAAAAGTTTCAGAAACAGTCTCCACAGAAAGATCCCACCGAACAGACGGAGCTCCAGCTAACAAAGATATTGAAGAAAATGAAAGACGAATCCATTATCAGTCCGAAACTATATGAACAACTGCGCCCATCTGGTTCTACAACACCGCGCATGTATGGCTTACCTAAAGTACACAAACAAAACGTCCCATTCCGCCCAATACTAGATATGATTGATTCCCCATATCATGCAATCGCAAAATGGCTGGTGGAAATTCTCGGGCCGGTGAAAGAAAAGCTATCAAGACAAAACCTCCGTGACACATTCGACTTTGTTGATTCAATTAAGAATGTCAATGTAGCAGAAAAGAATGGTCTCCCTGGATGTCGTGTCTCTCTTCACCAACGTTCCACTGACAGAAACCGTATGTTTCCTTTGTGATTACATTCAATCCAATAGCATTGATGTCGGTATACCGATCCTCCAACTTTCATGGTCTTAATCCCTCTATGCTGAAATATGGTAATCCCGAATCATATTTTAGCTCTACCAATTTTTCATTTTTTCATTTTGTAGTCTCCTCCTTATTACGTCAGTTGTTACTATTACTACTCTCATTTTGAACTGTCCCCGTTACTATTTCACTTGTTCCACTTGTCATTCTAAATCAATTCCTTTTTATGACGTCGAATTCTATGCTATCAAATTTCACACAATATTACGTAACGTTTTTATTTTATTCGATTGGTCTATTAATCCTATAATTGCACACCCTTTTTCAAGTTCTATCCCTCCTATGAATTATTCTATATATGACATTAATCTGCTTAGCCACTTGACATTTAACTACGATTATAATCACAAACATTTTAGTTTTAATTGAACTTCATATGATTATTATTATTATTTTATGCATTCACACCTAAGATTCAATTCCCACACCGGATATAACTTCTTAAAAACCATATATATACGACTGTACAGCTTGATGATAAATTCGTTGAAAAGAGTCTCTTCGCTGAATCACTTGTTTTGATTTTCTAAATGTTACAATGGGAATTTTCCATGAATTACAATTAATACCTGCATTATGTAGGGTTGTTTAACAGACAGCTGAGAAAAAATTATTATATTCAATATGGTTGCATAACTATGCCTAGTTTCTGTAATATATGTCCTAAATTTATTTCTATTACCTGCTGTGTTCACGAAAAATATTAGTACATTCACTGTAATTGATTAATTACTATTTCGTGTACTTTTTACTAGTTTTTATCTGTGGTAATTCATATGACACTTTATGTGTTCGATATATTTTAGGATTTAATACTTGCACATTCTTCAAAATTAAAAGAGTTGTTAAAAAATGCAATTGAAAATATTGCCTTAGCACATGTATATCAATGTCAAGTGTGTAGAAGACGAGCTTTACTTTGTGATTATTGTGATGAACTTAGTAAGCCTATATGGACACATGAGTTCAGCACTTATAAACATGTGAGTCTTCTTTTTTCTCATCAATTTATATTTGATTTTTTTATTTTTCTGGTGATGTGAAATGCTTAATTACCTTTATAAGTCTATTCTCTATTTTTGATCAATCTCTTTTTCTGCTTCTCGTTGTACTATACAGCCAAATGTTTTTGATTTGGTTGTGTTCTCTGAGCTGGATGGTTTATTTGCGAAGCTTTCATTATCCTACTAGGCTACATCTTCAGCGCATACTTCACTTTGAAGCGAACTTTTACATTTCGCCACGAATTTATCAGTTACCTCTTCTGGTGACCTTGGATGCGATCGGTTGTCTTTGTGTTTTCATACCCTTTAGGCTATTTGTATTGGTACTGAATGTTTCCTTGACTTGAAGTTTGACCCTTTGTGTGGGAGATTTCCCTCTTATCGATTGGTAGATTAGTCTACGTCAATGTGTTTATCGATTGGCGATTCACTGGAATACCATGCTTCTAGAAATTCCCCAGCATTCTCGGTGTTTCCTCTGTGGTTGTCTGTAGGCAGCGATATGAGGGAGTAGATGTCATGTCTTTTGACGGCTAGTTTATCATGGATACAAAGAGAGAGAGGACGTCCACTTTGGCCAATGTAGTGTTTTTCTCAGTTGTGACAATTTATTTTGTAGATGATGTTGGCTTTATCTTCTGTCGTTGTTGAGTCTTTTGGTTAACATAGAGATGAGTGAAGTGATTTTGTTGGTTTGTGTGTGAAATCAATTCCTAAAGTTTTGAAGAGTCTTGCAGGGATTTCTCAGATGTCTTTGATACATGGTAGAGCGATTTTCTTTGTGCTTTCCTTGGGGGCCTTTGATTTGGTAAGTTGGCTTGGGGGTAGATGTCTTTTGATAAAGTTCCGTGAATATCCATTCTTTTGGAAGACGTCCATGAGATATCTTTCTTCTATTTTTCGTAAGGTGGGAGTGCTACAATGAGTCCTGACCCTCTTGAATAGTGTTTTTATACGACTCCTTTTGTGTGTTATTCGTCTGTTGCTTTTGTAATTGAGTATTTCGTCTGTGTGAGTTGATTTTCTGTAAACTTGAGTTTCTAATTTGTTCGCTTGTTGTCGGTTATTCGCTTGACCAAGACGTCCAAGAATGTAATTTTGACCTCGGATTCCTCTTCTCTTGTGAATTCCATATCGTTCAAAACTCTGTTTATAAAGTTGTGAGTTTCGTCCAACTGATTTCTTTTGATTATTACGAATATGTCATCTACGTAAAGTATCCAAATTTTGGGTTTGACCTTTTGAGTAGATTATGTTTTTGAATCTTTGCATTACTGATTCTGCAATCAAACCTGATATTAGCGATCCCATAGGTGTTCTTTTAACTTGTTCATATATTTGACCGTTCAGTGTATTTCTTCAAAATTTAGTTGAAAAAGGGTTAGGTATGGTCAAACCAAAACTTGGCATCAGTTCATGAAATCTTTGACAGTTGGTTTCAGCCAACCACGTGGAGGGAGGTGTAGACTGACTGATTGGAATCTTATTAGTGATATGCCTGAAAACTGTTGTCATTGGCGCAGATGCATTCACCTTTTATAATCTCTCAGATCCGTTTAATTTTCATATTTTGTCATGTTAATGTCTCTTCTGTTGTATATTTCTGCTCGTTATAGTTGTCTTGCGTCATCTTTTTCTGCTTTACTTTTGTGTGCTACATGGATGGTGGCAACTTGTGAACTGTTGAAAACTTCTGTAAAAGTTTCTATGCTGAAACTTAGACTCAGTCAGTTACATTTACGTGAAAAATAATTCTTATAGATTAAAAAAACAACTTAGGTTTGTCATTCTATCAAGTGCGGTTATGGCTCACTTGGGTACCTCTACAGGAACAAGTGGACTAATGCACATATACGCAGCAGTTGCTAGCAGGTAGATCTTGTCTTCAACATTTTGATGAAAAATAGAATGTTTTGAAGAAAGTGAAACATAGAGATGTACTGGTAGCCTTGTGAAATCGCTTAAATTCAGGTTTGTGAATCTTTCTTGGTGCAGTTGTGAAGAATCTTGAGCTTATATATATATATATATATATATATATATATATATATATATATATATATATATGTTAAATATCAACTGTGAATTATAAATCTACTGAGGAACCTCATTTATGCATGTAATATTCTGTCTGTAGAGGAAATAAAAATTTGGTCAAACAGTAACAACCTAAGCATAAAATTTTACATTCTGGCTCAACTTTAGGCATACAGTCAATTGATTGATATGAGTGTCACTGAAGATTTTCAATATTTCATCTAATTTAACATCCCATCAATAATGGTAAAAATACTATCGATTTACTGATCATAAGGCCTAAGCTGATTGATAGCTTAGTATGAGATATTCAATAATAGATAGACAATAAGGTGAATGATTATCGATTGAGACACCACATGAGAATCTTACTGCTGCTTCACCCTTTTATCTACATACATCTACATAAAATAAAAAGTGAATGCTTGATGAGCGTCTTAATATTATATTGGCTCATCAATATAATTAGCAGTTGTTTGTTAACATTTGAATCGTTGAATTTACACAAGAGCCAGATAATTTGAGGATATCTCAATTCACTATTATCTTTCTACCAGGCTGTGAAATTCCTGCTGTCGTGTTACAAAATAGTAGAGTGACACAAATCAGTCAATTGAGTTATTTCTCTTCGAAAATGTGAAAAATTTGACTCAAATAATTTGGTGGATAGTGACTATCAATGGAACTTAGGATGAGCGTTTCGTCCTGTTTGGGAGTCGTCAACTGGATGTGCCTACATCCTCAGTGAGTGATGGTGTTACTAGTGATACTCCAATCCAGTGCCCCTGGTTCTGAGGCTGAAGTGTAATGCATTAGACCACTTGAGCCACTATATCCGCCTCTCACGCAAAGAGTCAGTTTATATTTTTTTTTAGATTAACTTGCATTTCCCCTTAATTCATTATGCCGTACCGAAATATTCGGTTTCTGTCAACATATCGACTGCCAATGGGAACACCACTGCCCACTATGAACGCAGGTGCATCCAGATGACGGGTCCCAGATAAGGCGAAATGCGCATCCTGAATTGCTATGCCAGTCACAATCCACCAAATTACTTCATATTAATCCTCACACATCATCGAAGCGTCCGTACCAGAAACCGATATGTCAATAGACGCCGAATATATCGGTCCAATCAATCAGCGAGAAAATTAGAACTGAATCAAAAACAAATTGATTCAGCTAGTTTAATTCTTTCAGGGATTTCAGGCTTAATTGTGGAATCTGGCTGTATGTTGAGCAGAATTTATGAGTTGTTTTTCTATTAGAGCGGTATTGTTTTTGCTTTCCATTCACTTTTTAAACTTGCTGTTATTATTAAAGATTTTTTCCATTTTATTCTATAAAGTCTGACCTGTTTGGTAATCAAACTGTGCTTCAATCATCTATACATACAATAGCTAAATCCATAATGTCGGTCTCTCAGTGGTGTTTCTCTTTCACATTGCAAACAGCACTTGAGGAGAGTTGATTCGCTACGCCGTAGTTTTTCATCGGGAATATGAACTTAAACTGTTGTCCGACTGACTAAACTGCCAAATTCAGCTTCTTTATAAAATTTAATATCCATAGAGGTGTATTATCATTATTATTGTTCCCCTGGGTTCCTAGTAGAACATAGGGCTTCAGTTGTACGTCTGCACTTGCTTCTGTCTTCTGCTGTGCTTTTCACCTGCATCCATGTTACTTCAAACTGTTTCAACTCCCCTTCAAACGATCTCCTCCATGTCACCCTTGGATGTCCCACTCGCCGTTTCCCTTTCGGGTTCCACTCGAGCAATGGCCTGACGCGCGATGTTACCCAGTGGCCTCCTCAGTGAGTGTCCAATCCATTTCCACTTTATCCTGCATATTTGTTGGGTGATTGGTTCTTGTTTTGTTTGTTCCTATAGTTTCTTGTTGAATAATAATAATAATAATTTGCTTTATTCCCAAACATTACTTGTGGTACAGAATGGAATTCTCAGCATTTTACTACAGTACTGCATTCAGTTAGTACATTAACAAATAAAATTCTACATAGATTAAGGAAATTTCAATTCATTATGACAACAACATATTAGCATGTCGGTAGCAAACCCAAAATTGAACAGAGTGTTTGAAGGTGTTAGAAAATTAGATGCTAGCATATTTACTGGCGTAATCAGAAGAAAGAAACAAAGGAGCACATAGCAGAGAAAATAAGAGGGAGAAAAGGAAAAGAGAGAAAGAAAACGTTGTACCTATAAATGATATGAGTTGGAAAGACGAGATCCAGTGGTTCTACTGACTATTTAATAAGTTATAGGTATCACGCCTAATGCTTTATTTATCGCACAGAACACGAGCTAAGTAGGGTATGGTTGAGTTTTTGTACTTGCTAGTGCGAGCATATAGTATTCTATATAGGCTTCTGGTTCTGCCTGATGAGATAGATGATTCTTTCCGGCCATCTGATCTTCAGTATAGAGAGAAGGCAGTTGTCGATAAAGGTCTGCAACAGGCTGTTGGAAATATTCTTTGTGACCCGCCCGCCAAGTTTCTGACCCGTATAGAAGAACTGACTTTACGTTTGTATTGAAAATCCAACCGAATTTTGTTGTTGATTCTGGCCGAGTGACGAAGATTTCCTTCCAGATTGGTTTCAGGTTGATGAATGTGTTTCTCGTCTGGCTTTCTGATTCTCGCTCGATTTGACATCTTCGTTCGTTCCTGCTGTAGTGGAAACAATGCTCCCTAGATAAGTGAATGAAGTAACCCCTCCCGTTGATGGTGATTGGCACTGGATGTTGCTGCTGTTGTTGTTGTTGATTGGTGTAGTGATAGAATTTATTGTCAAGAAATAATGTCTGAAGTTATTCCGTTGAAAATATAGCATCGTGAAAGTTCCTACAAAACATTAAAGTAGAGATCAACAGGAATAACAGCAGTAGAGACTAAATTATTCATTCAGTATGTTTTCTATCAGTATATCTGATGACATGTTTTCTTTGAACAGAAGTCTTGTAATATATTTCATTTCTCGGCATTAAAGTATTCTGTTGCCAATTTCTAAAGCAAGCGATTTTTTTAGCCGGATTCGACTGTGAACTTATTCAACGCTTTCCTGTGTTTTTTTAAAGCCATTTGCTACATTTATTCCGCTTTTCTTTCTATCATAGTTTTAAGAAAGATTTCACCTAATCTTTATACGTTTATAGCGGTGTAAGAATTCTCCAGGCTTAAAACTATGTATCCCGTACTGTAGGGATAAGTAATGTATTCTGAGAGTAATTGTACAATATGAGGTTAATTATTAGTCATTATTTGCTAAAGTTATCAGACGTATCAGAGTTTCTTGCATGAAATGAGCTTTGATTCTAAATTGATCGTACATTTCCTTAACTGTTTTTTAACTATTTGTGTGAAACTAAGCTTAATATCATTGAAATGAGTATACTGACTAGGGAGTAGCGTCAGGCTGTAGTCTTCTTCTGACGGTAGCTTATTTCCACCAGATGTCTTTTAGTCGTACAGTGTAGTGATCGAAATCTAAGCATTTTAGTCTGAACACAGGAAACTAATCAATGCGTTCTTCTGTATAGCTTACCAAACTTCGCAAGTCACGCATAGTCAAAACTTATATTCTAACAATATCAAAGCATAATTTAACGTGATAGAATTTATGGCACTATTGAACAATATTAACTCATATAAAAAATACAAAACTATACCTCAACAATGAAGCCTGGCAGGTATATTAGTCCAAAAGTTTCTCAGGGTACAAAATTCTTACTTTACAACAACATTTAGAAAGATATTCCCAACAGGAAATAGGATCAAAACGATTTCTGCAAGATTCAAATAGAGCAATAACATGTTTCCTACATGTAGTCCGGGATGAAGGTGTTACTCAACCGTGGAACCTTCAATTCATTCAAAACGAAATCTCACTAGCAAAGAGATACCTTTATGTTGTTTGCCTACTCTCATACAACAGCAAATTGATGCATTAAAAATAAAAATGACACGGAAGTGAAGACAAATAATAAAACAATACACTTAAGCGAACAATATTATTTCCAGTCAGATCTCACCAGGCTTAACTGTAATATACATAACAAATAAAAATTCAAATCTAAGCTGATCACGATGTTTTGTCAATATGATAATGAGATTGTGCATATAAATCGTGCGACTAGTAATAATAATAATAGTAGTAATAATAATAATGGATCTATCAATAACAAGGATGAAAAAGTGAGGCTATCTATGATAATAAGAATAACGAAAAACAGCATGACTAAACAAACAAATGGATGTGGTCGATAAAGGCTGAGAAAACCATGGACCGATTAAGGAATGCTAGATTATAAGGGAAGCAAATAAAAATACACTTTAGTGGAAATATGATAAGATTGAGGGATGATAAGAGAGAGGTTGAAAATATATAAGTAAGGGGTGGTGGAGAAGTCATTAGTTTGTTAGGTTTTAATAAGTCAAGGTAGCGACAATGGCTGTACGAACTGCGTTTGAATGCATAGTTCAGGCCTCATAGTTTGAATGCCTATCGCCTCCACTGTGTGCGGTAGACAAATACGAAGTCCATTGGAAAGATTCGGTGGGATGCGATGAATTACCTTGAAAGCTTTCGTTTTCTACTTAACTGTCATCCTAGGTGCAGTTGAATTTGTAAATACACACAGATGTGGCAAAACTATCTAGCCTATCCTTCGTTTGCGTCGCAATCATTCGTCGGCTAGAGAATGGCAAAAATAAGTTTACTGCGTGAAACATTCTTCATACACTCCTGGAAAGTTTCTGGAATAAAATCTCACTTGACAAGTCACCATTAGATTCTAACTTAATAAATAGGGGTTTTTTACGTGTAGATTTTCTCAGATTTCGCAGATTTTCTCCCCATTGTTTTCATATGTTTCTTTATGAAACTAGTCGGATAACCGATCTTCGTCAAGGAATCATGAATATATTCAAATTCATTTTGTAAGTGGTCACTCGTACATATATCTTTCTTGCTCTGCTCCTAATCCATAATAAAGTTTAAGTCAGAAGAAAATATGGAAATGTTGGGGCGATGTGATACACAGGTCGGGAGAAAAGGGTAACTATGAAATTAGTTGGAATATTCAAATGAATGTCAGTATTATAAATAGGATAGTTCATGTAGTGATTTTCAGACCAATCATTCTGCAAAATATGTTTTATTTAATTATGGAATCCTGATGTTCACTAGATTAATGTTTATCATTAAACTTTGATTGCAAGGAATAGAGATAATGATTATAACGTAGGTGACTGATTTTTCACACCGTGATAAGGAATTTTTGTAGTTTCTATTTACATTATCCGTTTGTTTATATTTGGTATTTTTCTATATTCCTTAACTGAGACATTGTGCACGTGTAACAGTTAAAAAAAAAGGCATGAATATCTAAGTTTCATGTACTACACCTTATAATTAGATAGTAATAATTGTGGGGTAAGAAATAGAGGCGAAGAAGATATTAGCCCTTGAATAATCAGTGTTTGTTTTCACTTAAATAAAAAGTTAGTCACCCGTATTGTCTTTCGATTTTCATGAACTCTGAGGTGGAAATATTATGTGGGTGGGTAGGTGGTTTCACTTGGTCATATAACTTAATGCCCCGGCCGATAACTGCTACCTTGTCATGGTGGTCGGGCTTGAATACCGTAATGACCCAACATTCTAAACTGACTGGGACTCTGTCCCTGCAGATCCTACCATGTCAGAAAAGTTGTTTGGATAGAGGTTAGACTAAAAGCAGTTACCATGGGTACATGGACTCCAGTATCCAATCGGATCAAATGGCGTATGAACCCATATGGGTCACCGTCAACCATGGGAATGCAGCTCCTGACGCTACTCCGCTGCCTTGCGGATTAGACTCAAAGTCAAAGGCTCGGGGGTGGTCTCTTAAGAAAACCACCTGATTCAGTCTGGGCGCCCAGGCGGTTTCTCAGCCCTCACACAATGAATTGAATAAAGCAATAAACAATCAATGAAACTTATCGCGTGCTGTTACACGTGTTGCAATTTCCTTCTTTCTTCCCTTCGCGATGATAGTTAACGAATGCTGTTTGAACTTGTTAAGTATGACTGTTTTCCTTCCAGATGAAGTTCTTGATCCGTTCTCTACTTATATATTTTTTTCTTTTGATCTTTGTTGTTCTGTTATTATTGTGTGGCGCATCCTTCTTGGTGCCATATTGTACCAAGTTTTTCATGCGTTTAAATAAATAAATATAACTTAATGCATATTGTTCAATAACCATTTTCCGTATTCATATAAATTCTGTGTGTTTCGATAGTAACCAACTATTCAGATATAATCTATGAATGTATTGCTACTTTGTAGATATTAAACTCCTGTCTGGCAAATAAGTTTCATCACTCACCATGTTGACTTTAATTCCAGTCAATAAACTAGCTTATTTTAAGGCAAGTTACTATATTATTGATTAATTCCTTGAGTTCTGAGTTAAACACCTCCACTACACTTGATCCTCTGTTATCACTTTCAATAGGCTTCACGACTGTCTGAAGATTTTCATTTTTCTTCAGATTATCTTTTTGTTACTCTCAGACAATCAACTCGTCGCTTCTCATTTGGGTTTCACTCGAGGCCTACCAGGCGCCTTATATCACTCAGCGGTCTTGTCAGCGTGTGTGCAAGCCAATTCCATTTCGTTATGCATATCTGTTGGATAGTAGGTCGTTGACTACCAAACACCCTTTCTGCTTATTCCTTTCGACTGGCAGGATGTCCATTTAATCTTCAGTATCCTCCAGTGAAGGCAGATGTTGATGGAAGTCCACAGTAGGTTATTGAAAGTGCTTCTCGTAATGCTCTCATCAAAACTCTGAACCATATAAAAACAATGACCAACTGGACATTTTGACCTTATTCCTTGTGTTGAATACTGTCGATCTCCACAATGATTTCAGAGTAATCACAATACCTGCCTTATTTTTTCCTATCCGATCGTGGCTGGGTTTGACATCGTCATCCATGCTGCCTGTAGTTGAAACGATCCTGTCCTGGTCAACTGGGTGAAGGAGATGACTTCTTTTGATTTTTTTTTTGAAAGTTACTGGTGTTTGTTGTTGGTTGGTGGAGTGTATGTCCATCACTTCTGTCTTCTTGGTGTTCACTTGTAATTCTGTCTTTGCTGTCTCTTCCTCCACCTGTTGGCTTTTGCGTGTGTACATCTTCGCCTTTGTAAGACAGAAGTCATCTGCCAAGTCCATATCTTTCAGTGTCTTTTTTTCAGTCCAACGTATTGTAATTCTAATAGGATAATGATAGTAACAAATAATAATAATAATAATACTGAAAATATTTTTATCCTTTCTCATTATGAAACAGATACCATTTTAACTATTATAATAACTTTTGTTTTGTTTTATTTTATTTTAGTGTATTAATCCAGGTTGTTCAAAAGTTATGCATATCAGTTGTCTAATAATGTCAGATAAAGAATTAATGTCTAGTATAGGATGTTGTTTTGAGCGTCAGTTTGTGTCAACACCCCCCAAAGATTGTTCTGAGTTAATCTCTTTGGACATACAATGTATATCGTGTAGAGATTATCGTTTATCATTTTCAACAAACAATCAAGTGATTGGGCATTATGCTGATCCTTTTATTATTCCTAAAACATGATCTGAGAAATTATTTCATCATCTTTTTTATTGTTATTTATAAATGATATTCAATATTGAGTTTTGTAAAAAAAATAATACCCTATGTGAATTTGTAAAGTATGAACTTCATAAGAATAAATGTATATTTTTCTATGAACTTGTTTTTAGTCTTTATACTTATTGAGAATTACAATCCTCTTCACGGGATTACCGCTTTTAAGGTACTCTACTCAAACTCATGCAGTAGTTGAGAATTTACAGAGAATTGTCATCTGAAGTGGTGACAACCAGCGGTGTCCATCACGAATGCCCACTGTCTACATTTCTCTTTAATTTCATCATAGAAGTATGTGATAATGGACTTAACCGTAACTGACTTCAGCCACTCACGGATTGACTTGTTGCTTGAGCAAGGGATAATCTCGTTAACTTAGAATATGCAGATGATATAGTCCTCCCATCGGGATGAAGACGCAGACATAATAGAGAAGAGTCTTCTGAACACCTCGAGCATCAATCATCGAATGATTAGCATGCGATTCGCTCCTACTTTCAAATGTAAGATGATAAGACCACAGGACTTAACTGGACTACATTGACCCACTCCTAGCTTAAAGATAGGCAAGAGTGAAGTGGTAGAGCATGTTGATCAATTCACTTATTTGAGAAGTTGCACCAGTTATCCCCAGCGGATTGATCACTGACGAAATCTCAGCACGGATACAGAAGGCTCTTTTCGCATATGTCTGCCAAATTACGTCATCTCTGGCTTAGTAGACTTGGTATCCGGTTGGCTGTCGATCAAACGACCTGTGTACTGCTCAGCCACAGTTTTCTCTGTCTTCCTTTATGGCTGTTAGTGGGGGATGTTCACTGAAGGTGGAAGACATGAAAAAGCCGGATAGCTATCTATGATCAAAGGTGCCTGTGTTCTATTTCCTGTCTGATGTGGTGGTAATAATAGGGTGGACAATATTGAGGTTTGGCTTCGGTTGAGTGCTAGATAAGGAGGGGAAATTAAATGACGTGGTTTCAAGGTACATGGATTAAGATAGGACATGTGTTAAGCATTATTAGGCTAGCAATCGCCATACTCTACCAACGGGCAATGTTTGAGGTTGTAAAAGGGTTGGCTAGTGATGGTCTCATCATGGCTTCATTAGTCAATGAAATCCACAACAGTCAGTTTAAGCCAGCCAGATAACTACGTAGGGAGGTGTAGACTGCTTGACTGACTGGTTGGGGTCCTCGGGATGTTGAGAACCAATGATGGCTGGAGAAAATTGGTGATATATCTCAAATCGTTTGCAATGGTTGGCGCATATACATTCACTCTTGGTGATTTATCATACCCAAGAAAATGTTATTGTTCTCCAATATTACTATTCTTTTTGCCTCGCACTTCTGTTTGTTACCTGTCTTTTGCATCTCCCTTCTCTTGTTTTGTGTGGTACATGGAATGTGGCAATTCGAACTGCTGCATGTATGTGCAAAGTTCTACGTTGAAACCAGTCAGTCAGTATTGCAAACTTTCTGGCCGAATAACATGAAAACGCTCAAGCTTAATTAGACTTTACTAATTAGCTAAGCTGTGCAGATAGTCTTAATTCCAGTCGATCAGTGTACTTAAAGGGAGATGGAATTATGTTTAGTGTAATTAATATAACTACTTTTGGAAAGTAACGAAAAGGGATTTATTAAATTCGCCTTTGTCCTTCGGCATATCAGTATCTCTTTTACAAATTATATATATATATATATATATATATATATATATATATATATATATATATATATATATATGTTAACAAGTCTTTGATTTACTGTTAACACTCAGACGTTAGATAGGTTTCAGTCCCGCTCTGCTTTACTTCACACTGTTTAAAGTAAGATCTTAATTTCACTAACCCATATCTATTCATTGAGCTCTCTCTATAATTACGATCGTTGTTACTATTATCATTAGTATATATCATAAGCATTTAAATATAAACACTCTATTGAGAATAACAAAATAAGAAGATAGGAAGTGGTGAATACCTGGTTTCGGTGAGAAATCCCAGTTTGTTATGATATCACGTGGAATAACTGCTTCTTGTAGTTGATGACAATTCACACAATAAAAACATGCATCATAATAATCTAGGAAGGCGTGATCTAAATTTTATTGAGCAAAGAAAAGATTAAAAAAATATAAAAGATCAGCCCAGTATACAAATTCATTAATTAACAAAAGTGAAATTGGACTTATTTTAAATTCATACCTAATTTATCACCAACCATTGAAATGAAGGAACTATTAGGTTTTACTGAAAAGAGGTGGGTAATTATCACATGACGATTTCGCCCCCATAAACATCTTGATATGGATGAGGGTGAGTAGACTTCAGTCCTCCTCTCGAAATGCCCTCACATGGCCATGCGTTTATAGCTTCTGACGGGTAAGTTCTATTCACTCCCTCCACGCAGCAGACGTGTTACTCACAAAAGTGAAAGGGCTAATTCGAACGCTTGGCGCTTACATCTGAACTGTTGGACAAGCTGGTCTAACTAGGAGAGCTAGAAAATTCTGATTTCAAACCTACGGTGTATATGGGCCACAGAATCCGAAGGGATCAAATGACACATAAACCTGTTTTGACCACCAGAAACCGTGTAGGCACTGCCCTACCGCCTTATGGATCTGACTTTAACTCAAATGTTCAAAGGATTGGTCCCTCAGGACAATCAGCCATTTCAGTCTGAGCGGCCGGACAGCAATCCCAGCCTTAGGAAAGAATTAGCTATGAGATTTTGTGTGGCACATCTCTTGGTGCAGTAATGTACCAAACTTGTGGTTTTATGAATAAATGATACTTGTAAAAGTTGAGTAGTTAGCTGAAGCAATCTCCATGAAACGCAGGAAACCCGATGTATGGGTTTAGAAAGAAGCGATTATAAGCATTTCCTTGACCTGGTTAACTGGATATTTTCATCCTGTCTTTCATTTTATTGTGTAACGCCGAAAATTGCATTTTGTATGATTACTATTGTTTGGGGTAGGGTGATTATTAGTTTTACCATCGACGCACATATGGATTTTTTTGTTTAAATATGAACTCTCCGTTTAAGTATGTTAAAATTGTTTCTATACATAAACTCAATAATATCTTTGAAATGTAAGCAGCTGATGAGAAGCCAAGGAAATGAGTGGTGTTACCGTTTTATTCTGCACAAACTGTTGTTCTTGCTTTATTCAAATTCATAAAGGGGAATAATTGTATGAAATATTGATTTAGTAGGAATGTGTATCATTTTCATGAGAAGAAATTGTTTAGCTTAAGCTAAATAATGGGCAAATGTCGTGACCAACGGGAATTAGTATAACATCCAAGTAATCTAAATCTAGAAAGAGTGCAGTACGAATAAGAGTTGCTTACAGTAACAGACATAATGATCGAATTAGTGAATATTATTCAGTTCGTCACTTATTTTTACTGGAAGAGATTATCGCATGTCAACAATAGGACGTAGGTGTAAGTGAACAAAGAGCGAGCCTAGTTATTGTTGAATTGTAAATGATAAAGGAAGTGATACTTGAATAAAGATGAGCGAAGAGTTTGTAGAAGACCTTTCTTAATGAAAGCACTATCGTTGTCGGTATTTAGAACGTAGTATTTCTTTTTAAATAATTAAATGAAGTTTGTTCATACATGAATTGAGGACATTTGGGGTTAAGTATGATAAATGAATTTAAATCATGGAGGATTTCACCATGAGCTGACATCAGCTAGAGAACCACTGGAAAACCTGGGAGTACTGGACAGCTGTTTCGTCCTAGTTTGAGACTCTTCAGCAGCACGCACCCACCGGAATTCGAAACTAGGACTTTCTGGTTACAAGGCTAGCGAGCTGGTAGACCATTGAGTCACTGGGACCCGATCCAATGGTTCTTGAATTCTAACTTCTGCCAATTCACGATGTAGCGTGACCACTTCGCAATATCTTCTTCAATGAGTTACTGCCTCATCTTCAACCTGCTGTACCCTACTGGTCACGGCTTCCCACCAGAACCCCAGGTTAACTGCCTGAATAGGGCCAGTAACTAGTGAGCATCAGATTAATTTTCAAGTATTGGTTTTGTAGGGATTTTGTTTGATTGCATGGAGGATTTCACCATGGAAAATACGTATCAGGACATTATAGAGAAAAGAACAAGAAGTTCAGCAAAGATGTTTGCCCGGCGATTTCCTCCTCAAAAGCTGTATAGAAGTTCACACAATTACAATTGTTACCTAATTCAACATAATAACGAAGGGAGGTTAAAGAAGACGATTATTTGCAATACAATATGAAGGTGTCAATATGTATCACAAAAGACATAGTTACGAAATTACATAAAATGAGAAAGTAGTTGCATAACATGGTGGATATTTTTTAATGAAAGCAGGTGTGAACAGGATTTGAGTAGAAACAAACTGAAATAATAGTTTTTATAACAATATGGTAGGAATTAAAAGAAAATCACGATTACACTAAGACGCCAAATAGAAGTAGATTCATGGTAAATGTAGAGGTTGGACTATTTTCTTTATGAAAACATCTCTGCATTTTCGACACATATGACTAGGGCTTCTGTAGTACAAAGAGGTTGGAAACAATAATTTTGGTAGATTTTTATTCACTTTGTGAATGACGAGTCAGTTGAGAGATGCTGTGATATGTCCTGATGAGGTTTTCAGTATGCAGCCATACTGGGTAGTGTCCTCTAACACGTTTTTAAAAGACATGCATTGCTTCATAGGGGCAGGTGACTGGAATTAAGGAATGACATCGCGCACTAGTCTCTTGAATGGAACTCAAATTATCCAGTTGGACTTGGAAGTCTGAGGGTGACATCGAGGAGCCAGCTAAAGAGGACGGCGAGAGAACAGGGCAAATCTAGATGTTCTTTTGAAGGCCTGTGTTCCACTTGGAACCCAGCCGAATAATAATATTGTCTTATTGTTGAAATACCTAGTTAAATCAAATTAATATTAAGGACGAATATTTACCAACCTGTTCCCACGACGTACACTTTTCGGCACTTACTCTTACGGCCAAAATAATAACGTAATAATTTATACTACTTATAAGTAACAGGAGTAATAAATGGAAAATATAACCTTGTAT